CCCACTTTTATAATCAGACTTAAGTTAGGATATTTTTTGATCCAACACATTTTATCAGGGAACCTTACAGTTATTTCACTGAGCATGGTCCCTCTGCATGTTTCCTTCTAGGAAGACATGAGGTGACATGGGTAGATGAGGATTCTGGAGAGATTTTCAATGAGAGCATGAACACAGAAGGATACGGTCCCTCAAAAATTGAAAAAAAGGCTCAGTAGGATCGAGTATTTCTCCTCCTCCTCAAAACACACATTCCATCAATACTAAAACGCTGCAGTTTTTTGACATGGGCATTTCCATGCACTTTTGGGAATGCTGCTCTTTCTGCTCAATTAACCTCTCCCAATACCCTATAAATCTGATGAATTCTTATCGTTTTAGAATTATCTTAAGTTCATAAATATGTTCTTCTTTCTTACTTTCCCATTAGATAATTCTCAGTCTCCTGTGCCTTGGATGTATGTCTGTAATTATGTTTACTGTACTGAACAGCATTATTTCTCTTTACATAGCTGTTAATGAACTATAACACTTCTGAGCTCCAGTTCATGGCTCGTAGTTTTACATTCCTGGCCTAGAAGTATTTTAAGTTTTTGTTATATTGAATTGAGTTGAATTTAATTAAATTGAATAGTTGTGTATTTTTCTCAGAAACCATCCACACTCTTCCTCCATTTTCCTTCTGACCAGTGACAGGTATTTGAGAGATGGATAGGTTTTAGGGCACAGTCTTTTGAAATGGAGCAGAACAAAGTTAAATGATCCACAAAGAGATCAATGCCTAGAATTAGACCATAGAAGCATAATACTCAAACCAACAAGCTCATCATCTTGAGGGCTGTAACGAAGCTAGAAATATATATATATTTTTTCTTTGCTGTGGTTTAGCCTTAAGAGACCTGTATTTCTAGACTTACAGGAAATAGACACTATTAAAATATAGTCAATTTTTATTGATGAAGTTATTCACCTATTCAGTGGAGGAGGTAAAACTAATATTAATGAAATTTAATGTATTTTAGAGTCAAAGAACAACTTAAAAATTTAAGGAAAGAGTAAGGTCAAAAATAATTAAAAATGTAAACTGGTTCAAAGGAATTTCGTAATATCTATCTTCTTTTAGTTTTATAATAGAACCATTCAGTTTAAAATGTTTATAAGTTTACAGTATCTTATAATTTGAGTTAGTAATAATTTGTACTGAAAAGTCTGATGAATAGAGGTTATGAATTTTTTCTGTTCTACTGCATACTTTCAAGAAAATACAATTTTTTTACTCATTTGTAAAAAAAGTAAATTATCCCATAACAGACTTGGTGGAGTTAAGATTGTCATATAATTTGTTTAATATTTGTTACTGTAGAAAGACATTCAAAGATGGAGTTTTTGATTTGGGTTGTTTGTTTTTTCCCAAGTGGATCAAGTTTTGGCTACAGATAATAGCATCATAGATTTTATAACCTTCTACCAGTGTTTTCTAAACTTGTAAGACGATAACAATCCCCCAGGGTACTTGTTATACCTACAGGTTACCAGTTCAATTTGATGAGTTGGGGTTGGACCCCCAAGAATATGTTTCTTTTAACATGGAGTCCAGGTAATTCTTATTTTTCAACATACTTGGACAACTGCATCTCTATACTATCTTAACGAATGAAAAAATTTGAAAAATTTACAGGTAGTTTTGGTCATTAATCACCCTTTTCTTCTTTGAAATATTTACTTTCCTCTCCAGATTCATCTCTCACCACTAAACTGTTTGTTTTCTAAGGATTAGTCATGTCAAATTGCTTATATACTCCTTTTTTCCTTTGCCCATGCTGTTCCCTGCACTTCAAATCCTATGGCCTATGCATTCCTTTCACTTGGTTCACCACATTTGCTATCTGAAACTTAAATTTAGTGTCCTCTAGGACTACTTCCTTGACATCTTGTGCCTGAGGTATCTCCACCTATTGTACTCTAAACCATCTTGCCTTGTATCTACTATGGTACTCAGCATTCTTTGTGGTACTCCTCTTTTCTTTTAAATCTCCCTAACTAGACCATGAGATGCTTGTGGGCAGACACATTACTAATCAGTCTTCATATTCCCAGACTAGCATAAATCTGACCTACAATAAATATCTAACACCCGTTTACTAAAGGGATGAAGAGTACAAATTGTTTGGGTCTTATCTTTATAATTTTAAATCTCTAAGCATACAGTACTTTTAGGAAATGTGCTTTTTTTTCTTCTCTGTGTGTCTTCCATCTACACAAACACCAATCATGGCTAGTTTTATATTAGTAGCAAGAGGTCATTAACACAAAAACATTTAACTAGTATTAAAAAAAACTTATCAAAGTAATATATATACATGCAAATAGTGTAAAGCGATATAAATTAAAAGTAAGCCTTCCTGAAATAGAACAAAGAACCCTATAAACCCCAAATAGCCAAAACGATCCTGAGGAAAAAAACCCACAAAGCTGGAGACATCACACTCTCTCACTTCAAAGTATACTACAAAGCTGTAATAATCAAAACAACATGGTACTGGCAGAAAAACAGACACACAGACCAGTGGAACAGAACTGAGAGCCCCGAAATAAACCCACACATTTATGGACAGCTAAGTTTTGATAAAGGAGCCAAGAACATACAATGGAGAAAGGAAAGTCTCTTCAATGGTGTTGGGAAAACTGGACAGCCACACACAAAAGAATGAAAGGAGACCACTATCTTACACTACACGCAAAAATTAACTCTAAATGGGTTAAAGACTTGAATGTAAGACCCGAAGGCATAAAACTCATAGAAGAAAACACAGGCAGTATTCTCTTTGACATCAGTCTTAGCAGTATCTTTTTGAATATGTCCCCTCAGGCAAGGGAAACAAAAGAAAAATGTAACAAATGGGACCACATCAAACCAAAAAGCTTCTGCATGGCAAAAGAAACCATCAATAAAATGATAAGACAATCATCAATTGAGAGAAGATATTTGCAAGTTATATATCTGATAAGGGGTTAATATACAAAATACATAAAGAACTCATACTATTTAACAACAATGAAGAAACCCAATTAAAAAACGGGCAGAGTATCTGAAAGGACATTTTTCCAGAGAAGATATACAGATGGCAAACAGTCACATGAAAAGATGTTCAACATCACTAAATTGCAAACCAAACCACAGTGAGATATCACCTCATGACTGTCAGAATGGCTGTTATTAAAAAGACAAGAAATAACAAGGGTTGGAGAAGATGCAGAGAAAGGGGAACCCTCATACACTGCTGGTGGGAATGTAAATTGGTGCAATCACCAGGGAATATTAAAACTATTAAAAAATAGAACTACCATATGATCCAGCTATTCTACTTATGGGTGTTTATCCAAAGAACATGAAAACACTGTTTTGAAAAGATATGTGCACCCTTATGTTCATTGCAGTGTTATTCATGATAGCCGAGACTGAGAAACAACCTAACTGCCCATCAACAGGTGAATGGATAAGGAAGATGGGGCATATATATACAATGAAATACTACTCTCTCATAAAAAAGAATGAAACCTTTCCTTTTGGGGCAACATGGATGGACCTTGAAGGTTTTATGCTAAGCAAAATAAGTCAGATGGAGAAAGCCAAATACCATATGATTCACTCACATGTGGAATATAAAAAATGACAATAACAACAACAAACAAACACATAGATACAGAAAATAGATTGGTGGCTACCAGAGGGGTAGGGGTGGGGAGAGAGTGAAAAGGGCACATTTGTACAGTGATGAATGACAACTAGACTTTTGGTGGTGATGTAGTCTGCATGGAAGTCAAAATATAACAGTGTAAACCTGAAATTTATGTAATGTTATAAATCAATGTTACCCAATAAAATGAAATTTTTTTGATTAAAAAATTAGTAAGCCTTCCTTACCATCTCTAACTCATGATAGATAACTACTGTTACCAGTTTCTTGTTTGTAGTTCTAAAAAATGTTAATATGCGTAAAGCATATATATGAAGGTATAAATATCTTTCATATTTTCATTTATGCACAAATACACAACATGTATACATAGATGTTTGTTTTTATTTATACTTTTATACAAATAAGATAATACTGTATTTATATCTTGGAAAAATTTTCATATCAACTTACCAATCCACTTCATTCTTTTTATTGGCTGCATATTATTCTATTTTAGGTATGTATTATGGTATAGTTAATCCCCTCCTACTCAGTATTTGGGTTGTTTTCATTCTTTCACAATACAAACAATACTGCAATGAATGTTCTTACACATAGATCTTTGTGCAGTATGGGAGGTTTCTGATTAAAGTCACAGGGATTTTGGATAGGTGTTTCTGAGTTAATCTCAAGAACGACTGCTACAAATTCTACTCTCAAGAAGAAGAGAACTTGACACTCTCACTAATTTTGTATTATCCAACTTATATTTGGATGATCTTCTACGTGTTTTACTTATTGTTCATTTAGGTATGAGTGAACAGGAGTATCTTTGCTTGCATATTAAAGATTTGTATTTCTGAAGCACATTGATGCTATGTCTCCTTCTATCTTAGATAGTATTATATCTCAGTTTTCCTCTGCTCTAAATCCCCCCCAAATTTATTTTTTCATTCATTTGATCTCTAGTTCACTATTCATTTCTGAAACCTAGTTTCCATACCTTATTTGATCTCTTAATAATGCCAAACTGTTCTTCAACATTTGACTATTTGAAACATATATTTATGCTTTATATAATGTCAGTTTTTCAGTTTCACCATTATGCCCATTAGAAAGTATCTAAAACTGATATAGACTCAATTTTTTTAATACTTATAATTTAATGAAATTCCAACAATAAACATTGCCTACAGTTTTTGGCTTCCAATACCTGCTTACCTAGAGCTAATAATACATATTACCTGTTCAACAATTACAGAAAAAACTAAAAGTGAAGAAAAAAATTCTGAATTTGAGGTATACAAAGAATATTCACTAAAGAATATTGAACGCTTCCCTAGTTTGCGAGTCCTCCTTGCACAGGGGCCTTGCTAATCTCTGTATTGTTCCAATTTTAGTATATGTGCTGCCAAAACGAGCACTAGACTTAATTTTTCTCATCATAGATTTGTCTCTACTGGTATAATTTGTTTTGTATATGAGTACATGTATGTGTGCTCCGGTATTTAATGTAACTTGTTTTACTCTTCCCTAATCGCTTTACCTGTTCTGGAGCTGCACTAGATGAAAAGCGCTGCAATACTTTGCATCATAAGTTTTGTGTGTGTTCTAAATCTTCAGAATATTTCATCTATCTTTATCCAATCCTAAAGTAATAAAGAAAAACTGAAAATAACATTTAATTATCCTAGGATTTTGCTAATTTTTTAACATTCAGTGCTACATGTATCTTAAAACATTAGACCATTTGCCTTTTGTAAAGTTTAGTGTCTTATATTTTTAAAAATATATTTTAAAATTTTCTATCTTAAAATACTGATGCTCATATATTAGCTTCCTTTAAACTATCACTGAAAGGAAATATGTATGTTTGTTACATTTTGCATGAGTCTCTCTCTTTCTCTCTCTCTTTCCTTAAGGAAGGCAGGAACATAGGCAAGAGGAGAAAGGTAATTGACCTCTTGACCCAGTTGTCCTGTTTGGTGAGGTTGTACCACATTGCCCTTGTGAGGTTTACAGTAAAAGCCAAGCAGAGGTCTGCAGTAGAGGGACTAACAGTGTTAGGATCAAAGGCCTAATTGTCTATTTTCTTGAAGTTAAGGTTATTGGCAGCTGCCATTATACCATCCATGCTGCTGTCACCCAGCACAGCCAACCAGCATGCACTAATTGCAGTGGCCTTTTCATCAAGTAAGATCATCCCACTAAACACAAAGAGCTGTCTTTCCATTAGCGCAGACAGTAGCCAGCTAGATCAGCTGGGCTCCTTGAGTATGATTAGACTGTCATATTGTTATGATTTGTTCAAGTTTAGAGCATTTAGCAGATACCCTTTGCACCTCTCTTTGTACCTGAATACTATAACCTGACTGCCCCTATCATTTAAGAGGGTACTATAGCTTTTCAAAGTTCAGCAGTGCACAATTGCAGGCAGGCAACTTGTTTCTGACAAGAGATCAATACTGTCCTTCCAAACGCTGGAGTCAAGCTGCTGGGTCTGTCAGAGGGATGTGTGCTGTAATTGGATCATGGATGCTGCGAGTCATCTGAGTTTCCCTTCAGCACTGTCACAGCTGTCAGATGTCATCCCTTTGTACAGCTGTCACTGCGGGAGGGTTGGGGCTCTTTTTCCGTTCTAACCCAATGCAAATGTCCACTTAGCAGATGAATATTGAAGATATTAGACACTTCTTTATGCCTTTATGCAAAATAAAGATCTGTGTCATCTGTGAATTTCATGGAAATAAGTTGCAATTTATTCACTGTGAGAAAAGTGAAGTGAAGCCTGTAAAAATGAGAAATTATTTGGTTCAGGCTATTAAAAAAAGGAATATTTTACAGAATAAACAACAATATGCAGATATTTTTCTTGAGATGGAAAAACTAATACCATGAAGTATTTAGAATGGTCACCTGATATTTGGATGGTATTTAAAAAGATATATATATATATCTCCTATGCTTCATCCATGTTCTTAGACAAGGGACAAATCTTGAACAGATTTAGGTCCTTTTAAATCATTAAAGTTTATTAAAAATTATAAACCCAGTATCTCTTTTAAAGTAGCAATATGATAAGATTTAAGGAACACGCTTATATTTAGAATCAGGTCAAGGAGTCTCAAGGAAGTTTTTAAGAAAGGGAGGACAGTCTCAATAAAAATGAGTTGATGTTTCGGTCACAGAAACCTTTTTTTCTAAATTATTACAAATGAAATAGAAAGACATCTCCACCGTTGGCAAAATAATTATATAACCAATGAGTGGCTTCTATTGATTTCAGTCCATTTTGCTTTTGTGTAAATTAAAAAAGAACATTCATATAGAAATGCATTTTATTTTACGGTACTTATGCTTATGACACTCCATGATGAATGGTAATTTCTGGAATTGTACAACTTGAGTCATGTGCGCTTTCAACATATAGTAAAAATAAAGAGATATCACCATTGTGGCTTTGGCAGAAATATTCTTAGTTTAGGAACTTTCACAATATTGAGATGGATCCATGGAATTTCCCTAGACTGTCCAAAAATACAGTACATTTTTTTTTTTGCTTACCATTTTCTTCCTGTCTCCCTAAGCTGATGTCAGCATCATTTTTGGATGGCCAACAGGGTAATTTTTGATCTGGGTGGCTGACTTCCTTTTTCTTGAGGTCTAGACCACACACCACCTTCTCTGTCAAAAAGGCAGCTTGCACCAGCCTCACTGACAGAGTAGCATGAACCTTATTTTCCAATATCTGACCTTAGCGTCCTGTCATCCACCAGGGGACTCACTCGGTCAGCCCCTCAAATATCCAAACTTTTTGCCTCCATCTGGCGTTATGAGGTGACCTCACCTCATTGACAGTGGCTCAAGTTTTTTGGAGCCTAAAATTAATGACTGCCCAAATCGAAACATAGACATTTGGTCCATGTTGGGCAGTAGGATAGTGGGAACGGAGGGAACCCAACAACAAACAAATGCACCCAATGTTTTCATTTAAAAGATGATGCATTTGAAATGACTATAATACATGATAATCAGAATAAGAAGTATTTGCATTTCTTCATGCCTCAGTTAGCATTTTCTCTCAGCGTGATTTTGCTTTTACAAGAAGCAGGATGTAAGTCCTACAAAAATTAAAATGTTTTACTCCCATAAAACAAATTATTTAGCAATCACATCTTAGTTGACTATCACTAGTATAGTAAAATGGTCTTCAACGGTTACTTGGGGAGAAAATAGAAGAATGAATGAAGTAAAAATTTTAAACTGAGTTTTTTAAGGTTATTCTTCTGTGATGATAACTGTGAACTTTATATGCAACTTCAGTGACTCAAATAGGCACTTTTTTTTTTTTAAATATGGTTTACGGCTAATTACATCAGAGCTCCAAAACAGTCTTTTTTACATTTGCATTAATAAGGGTGTCACATGACCACACTGAAGTAGGAGTATACATCAAAGGTAGATTAAAGGTTGGTTAAGCATCAAACCACGTTCCATATGTAAATTTATAGCAATGATGTGCTGGAGAAAGATAGCTTACCCTCTATTTCTCTGCTACTAAATAAAATTAAAAATTCACAACTCTGGTTTATGGGATTTTAAATGAATTTGATCTCTCTTTTGGGCAGGGCAAATAAGTGTTTTGTGATGTATTATTTTATAAAAAAAAAAAAAAAAGACCATCGTTCTGGCTCATTTAATTTTGCGAGTGAATGATCTAAGATTAACTACAGACTAGTCAGTGCAGTTTAAAAGCTGAAAGCAATTTTCAGCCATAGATGGTAATGCCACATTCAGTCCACAACTGAATGACTCTAAATGACTAAGCTTCGAGGTCTTTGTATATGACCACAGGGCCTGATAAAGCCATAGGAACACAGTAAAAGCACAAAAATAGTTCCAATTTATTTGGTGCCATCACCTTAATGAGATTAATACAGACGTGTTCATGTGCCTAATTGGTGATTTTGTTTTAACTAGTAATGAAGGATTAAAACTTCAGGCAACAGGCTGCTTGCTGGAAAGGGAATTTGAGGGGAAAAAGTTTTTAATTATAAAAGGAAGCCAGTGAAATACACCACAGTGAAGTTAATAATAATTCTTTTAAAAAAATGAACTGATTAAAATGTGTACCCTGGATCGTTCTTGCCATTTTATGAGGAAGGGTGATTTTATGAGCCATACCACATACTGCTTTTATTTACCAATCGACCCTTTGGCATACGAAAACATACAGAACTGTTACTTCTGGTGAAAAAATGTTAAAACTGAAAAGCATTGGCCCCCAGGCTACTGTGGAATTTGGAATATGTAGTATTTTATTCTCATTTATTTTTTAACGAGTTACTTCAACTGGATGACCTGTGGCCAGCTGTCGCGCTAAATCCCACAGCATCCCGGTCAATCAGAGCGTCTTTGAAGGAACTTCACCTGTGACTTGCAATGGGCTTGCTCCCCTCAAAGTTTAGTTGTAACCGTTTAAACGCTAACACTGTTAAGCATGCTGCCAAAACACAAACCCTCAGCCTGAGTCATTAAAATTTAATTATAAGGGGGCAGCTGAGCCCAGTTTGAGTTTTGAATCTGAAAAATCTTGTTTAAAAAAAAAAAACTAATAAAAACAAAACTACCCAACCAAACCTATTCGCATCTGTCTACACAGGCCCAGTGAACTATATTTAAATAAAATTGCAGGTTTTGTCAGAGTTCAGTATGCTCCCAATCCTCAAGTTAAAACGTATTTTGATTATTACTCCTCTCCTAACGGTAAAATGGGCCATTGTTTCGTCTCGCCGTTGTTGGTGGTGAATTGTATAGCATGTGCCCTGTAGATCTGTGCCAGCAGGGTAATTCTGTTTTTCCGAACAAATAGTAAAATAAAGGAATTATATCCCTATACTGACAATTGAATAAAACAACGTTATTTAAATTATTATTTTCCCCCCAAAACTTTGCCCAATGCTAAGGTGTCTTTCTGGTTAGAAAAAAGCCCTGCAAGGCCAGAATTTGGTCTTTGATGTTCTATTACGAACCACTTTAAAAAGACTCTGGGTAGTGATACTGTGCAGCGTAAGATGCTACCTTCCCAGAGAATGAAGACAGAAATATATTTTACATTTCTTGTCAGATTGAACTTTAAGACATCCTGACTGCTTTCTCTATAATTTAAACATCACAGCCAAAATGGCAACATGCTTTGTTCAGTTCCAGTTGTGTGGAGTTTCAGTGCTTCATTGATTCAGAGGAAGGCTGAGGCTGGCACGGGAGCCGGGCGACGGAATCACGCTCTCACTGCAGCATGTCAAGCCATTATATCTGGGACCAGAATGTCACCGTGGTCTCAATGGTTCGTCAGCTGAAGGATATGGTTAACAAATGTAAAACCAAACTTCAGAGGAGCTGGTTTTCTGTGCTAAGTGATCTG